CCCTATGCATGAAGGGTTGTTTCATGCACTAGTACTTATTTTGGTGTTCTAGGGTTAGAAAAGATTTTAGAAACTAATGATATTGCAGAAACTCTCTTGGAGTGCTCTCTTAAACTCTATATCTCTTGGATACGTCCTTGAGTGGTGAGTCTTTTATTTTTAATTTTGTATCCTTGTTTATTATCCTGAGGTAGTGATCTTTCTGTATCCCTTTGTGATTTTAAACTTGGTGGTGAGTTTTCTTTTCGATCATATTAAAGTTTTATCGTGAGTTCGTTCCTTTTCTACTATCGGTTTTCTAACAAAATTCATTTTGCATTTTACCATCCCCTTGGTATCAGTTCCTAAATCAACGGTGGATCCTAGCCATCCTATCAATGATCGGACCAATTAATATGTTGTTTGTGCGTCTCTGTGCATCAGGGTTCTCGAACTAGACTTGGGAGGAGTTCCAGGCGGGCCGGTTGGGAGCCGCCTAGAACTGCTCCACCACATACCGAGGGAATCATTGGTTGACTAATGAGATCATCCCCGGGATGGTATTGAAGGCTTCTCTTTTTTTTTTTTGGCTGAATAAATCATTTGCCTTGTGATCTTGATCGGGTGGTAACAAAGGTGACGATGAGAATTCGTCCTTGATCTTCTTTACGAACTTTCAAGATATTAGATATTGTGATGTAAAGTTACAGATTTGTCCTGGTGCAAAGACCAGAGAGAGGAAGGGATAGTGAGCCCGGTAAAGGATCAAGGTCACTGTGGATCTTGCTGGACCTTTAGGTGACCAACATAAAAACTCAATAATTTCTGGTCAATTCACTTGTTATTTCCGACTTCAATCATAAATTATAGTTTGCAGATATGTAGAGCATATTTTTCCAAAGCTGTTATTCCGTTTCAGATCGTAATCAGCAATTCCATTTCTCACTTGCAATTGATGTAGTCAAATTTGTTCTGATATCAACTTGTTCTTATTTGTAAGTGCTGCAGAGCAAATTCTTTATTATGAATGATACTGGCACATACAGACACCATTAGACATTTTCTCAGCTAACTAGATGGCATAGACCAAGAGTCTCAGTGGTATGGGATATAGATTTTAAATTCTAGAGCGAATAACTTGGAGTTCATAAAATGCAAGATTTGTTTCCTCTACTTGCTATGATGTTTATAGCTTTCGTCTGTTATGTCCATTATGCTTCGAAGTTTATGGTTATATGTTTGAACTCAGCAGCAAAACTCGAGCCGAAACTTCTGAACCAGCTGAATTTGTTTTAAATTTTGTTGTTTTATCTATCATCAGATAATAGCCAGAACTAGAGCCAATAAGTACTAATGTCACCAAAATTTATTCTTGGAAAGTGGAAACCAAAGGCAAGACAAACTGGATATTTGTTCTATGTTGAGATAGTAAATTTTCATGAACTGTTCACGTTAGTTCTTCTGTTGACAGGTAACGGTTTGCTCATTCTTTACATTCTTCTTTGATGTTCTTTTGTGTTAGCTTAAATGTTGTCAGGGCGTCGGGCAAAATAGTACAATAGGGGAATAGCAAAGCATTCTTGGTCTGTTTTTAGATATAAGATAGATTAGAGAATTGCCTAGTGTACTCCAACAATCACATATCAAGTTTACTGGACTGCTATCAGGGTTCCATCTTATATGTTCTAAAACAGCACCGGTAATTTCATGACTGCACATGTGGGTTGTGTTGCCCTTCACCAAGTGCCAAAGCTGTGTCCATGCTTATGTGTAATTGTAAACATGTGATTGGCACAGGCATGGTGCTGGTTTCGTGATGTGACAATTGGATGGGCAAGTTATCAGCACAAATTTACCATCATAAAGAAAATAAATCATGCTTTATCTATCTCGGAAAGATGCATCTGTCTTTACTTCATCTAATTCAAATATATATGGATCTCAGTCGCATTCGGAAGTATTCAAATTTCATCTAGTAGTAAAAGGGAACAGTGTTATTTCATCAAAAGCAAAAAAGCAAATGCTAATGATACAAATTATGTTCTGACAGCATGACACGGGCACTGGAGGCAGCATATGCACAGGTTACAGGAAAGAATATTTCTCTATCGGAACAGCAACTAGTGAACTGCGCTTATGCGTTCAACAACTTTGGATGTAATGGAGGATTTCCTTCCCAAGCTTAATGCAGGAATTGATACTGAAGAGTCATATCCATATTCTGCAATGAATGGTGTCTGTTGCCGGCTCAGTGAACATCCAAGGTGAGGGATTAGATCCTCACCTTTCCGCTTGTAGACCAGTAGGCGGGCGAGTCTTTTATGATTGTCTTGTCTTCTATACATTTGCATTTTCTTTACAGTTGTTATTTCTGTTCTAACTGAATAGATGTGCATAGCAATAATTATCCTGTTTTAACTAATTTTATAGGGTGCTGAAGATGATGAACTTAGGCATGCAGTCGGTAGGTCTGGTTCGTTCCAGTTAGTGTTGCATTTCAAGTAGTGAAGGGCTTTAGATTCTACAAAGGAGGAGTTTATACAAGCGATACGTGCGGCCACACTGAAACGGTAACTTCAACATCATTGTCCGTCTCTGTCTGTAAGCATTCACTGTAGATGCTCGATTGCTATGTTTGTATCAATTTTTCTGATCGAATGGAATGGTTAGATTGAATCAATTACAAGCAGGACTCTCAACTTTCATGAAACCCCATTTGTATGCAGGATGTGACCCATGCAGTTCTGGCTGTTGGTTATGGTGTCAAGGATGGCATACCATAATGGCTGATCAAGAACTCATGGGGCAAGCGATTGGGGTCCTGATGGCTACTTCAAGATGGAGTTGGGAAAGAACATGTGCGGTGAGTATCTTACATATTTAGTACAAGCCTGAACCACAAATATTATTATAATATATGATACGCTTATATACTATGACATGCGATATTGCACACGAAAATGATATGGTATGTGAGGTAGGAGTTCATGCATATGTTATAAATATCTATTACGTATACTATGTGACCTACTTTTGCGCATTTGAATTTTGATTTATTTTGAAGTAGAATTTATCTCTTTATTATATATTTATTGTGTTACAAGATTATATGTTGTTAAAAAGGTCATTAGAAGATAAGATTATTATGATAAATTTTATGCACATGATTTTAGAATATTATACATGTCACAATATATGCTTAATTAAATAAAACTATAAAAAATTGTATTTAATAAGTTATCACTCATCGTAGATCATGTTTTATAAGTAAGAATACTAATAATTCATTCAAGTGATAGGTCGTGAGAGTTGAGCAGATGTGTATCCCTACCAACAAAGGTATGACATCTTGTGGATAATTTTAGATAAATGGATGTGTAGTATTGAGTTTTATTTGTTTATTATATATATATATATATATAGAACTATCAAAACCACTAATAATAGGCGAAACCATGTCCCTTTGTTCAATAAGTTAACATCTTTTCAAATTAGGCCCACTAGCTTGGATACATGGAAATCTTTAGGAGCAAGATCCTTTTAGATAGTCTACGTGAAAAGGGACTTCACGTAGATGTCAACTTTCTTGGCTTCATTCCCTTATTTGATCTTTCGTCTCATATCCTCTAGGCATTGAACCATTTCATTTAGTTGTTCTTAGACAATTGGTTGCAGGTCGATACTTAACTACACCATGAAGTCAAACAATGATGGCCTAGCTTTCACTTTCTAGAAAATAGTGAGGAGACTGCATCGCTCATCCTGCTTTAGATAAAACAACCAAGAGTCTGCAACCACACTAACACGAACTCTAGGAGTGGCATGGGAGGAGAGGTAGTAGGATTGCTCTGCCAAATTGAGTGAGTTGCCCTATTTGAGAAAAAAAAGGAATGATACAAAGGTCTCGATAACTCTTACTTAACACTTCGAAACTTGTTGCATTAAATTTAAGGATACTTTTTTACAATTAGAATGGAGGGTGAGTTCACCACAAGTGATGTGAGCCTCGGTTATTAAAGAGGCGCTTGAATATCGAAACTATGTTAAAAATCTTGGGATAAGAAAAAATAGATTTTTTTTATCCTAATCCAAATGTCGTGCCTCGTGTTAGCAAAGCAATATAGAATTTCTTTATGATCCCATGAAGTTTGAGTGATTCTCCTACAAGACCTTTCTTCTAGTGTTATTATATTAGTATAGATTCTGATTGTTCTAGGTATCGAGTTATGAAGTTAACCTTGGTTCAACTCTAATCATGCCATAAGTTTAGTGTTGGAAAATGATTGTGTTCATAGTATGGGATCATACAAAAAGTTCGAGATGTGTCCGATAGAAGCTTTATACAATCCTTAAATTAAAATCAAAATAAATAATAAAGTAATAAAAGATATAGAGGTTTCGAGGTTTAAATAATATGAGGATAAGATAATATATTTGAAGCTTTTTATAGAGGCTTTCATAATCATCAAACTTAAATAAGAAGTTAATATATAAGAATAGTTACATGGAATTGTTGGGGGTTACTACATATGAAGGTTGCCCAAATTTTCGACTTATATTTTTTCCTTAATAATAATAAAGTATCGAAGTATTTTTAATATTTATATTTATATTATTTTAAATTTTTTAATAGTTAATGTTTTATTTTTTATTTTTATTTTTTGCTTTATTTAGAGATAGGTCTACTTTTGGGATTTCTCACCAAATAGATATATTTGTTTCTATAACAAATTCCTCGTTATTATTGCGAAAAGAATTCAACCATATACCTCCATAAAGGGTTTTCCTTAATCAACAAATATGTATTTCCGGATAATCTAAAAAATTTATTCCTTTTTGTTTTGTTAATTGGATCGGAGTTTGACAACACCGGATAATCTAAAATTTTACCTGTTGCTGCGGATTCTCTTAGTGGATCGATATCTTTCGGTATCCAACTATTCGATCCGCTTAAAACGGATCGGATCGGATCGGATCGGATCGGATCCTTCAAGTAAAACATAAGAAAATTGCAGCGAATAGGCACGGGACCAGTCTCGGGTCAGCTCGGCCACCCCATGATCCTGCAAAACCCGGCCCGGGAGCGACCGCGCTCAAAGCACCCCCCAACGCCGACCGTCTACATTACCGAACGCCAACCCCGTCTGACGCCGCCGCTGCGGGATGTCGTTCCGCGACCACGAGATGGCGGCAGCCGTCGGGCGCCTCGTGTTGGCCTACGACGGTGCCATCGCCGGCCTCGCGCTCGCCGCCTTCGCCGCGGTCTCCTGGGTCAAGTACCTCGCCGCCTCTGCTGCCCTCGTCCGCATCCGCCGCGCCACCTCTGTCCCCATCTCCGGCCTCCGCTCCCTCCTCTCATCCGATGATTCCTCCGACGAGGATGGGGTCCTTGTCGTCGTCCGAGGCCTGGTCCAGCCCAGCTCTACCGTCGAGGCTCTCGGCGTTTGGCCGCTCTCCAAGTTCCGCGACGTCCTTACCCCCCGGGGCTCCGGCGAGAGGGCCGTCGCCGTCCTCAGCACCCAAACTGTAAATTTTTCTTCACTTGGAGGTCATCAATTGTATGCCTGACATTTAAGCTTATTTGTACTTTGGATTGTTGCGATTTTTCTGTGCCCTAATTGTTTCAGTGAGGCAGCAAGCTTTGGTTGGCATATCTGAAATATTCTTATGGCATTACTGGTAAATTATTGGAATACTGGAACTTATTTTCCAATTATTTGCAATTCTCTTCTGGAGATAACCAAATAGTGAAGCAAAATGCAACAAAAAAAAGAAAAGGATAACCTGTAAGGGACATTAAAGAATCCATTACTTCGATCGATCTCCTTGTGAAAGAAATCTGTCTGTTTTGCAAATTGCGAACCTTTTGTTTAATACTGAAAATTTAAATTGGATTGGCTACTGAGTTCTGTTATACTTTAAAACAAGTGAATATCAAAATTGGGGTGGCTACTGACCGTCGTTATACTTTAAAATATATCTCATATGAGCAAATTTCAGTGCAATGTGTGCCTAGCTTAGATGTATTATCTAGCTTCTGAATCTTCAGGCAGTTGTATTATACATCATTTTGGGGTGGTATCTGGACTGGGATAATTGGAGCCAAGAGACTAGACAGACAGGAAGAAGGCAGAGAGATCTATAGTCCAGTTTAGTACAGCTATTAAGTGTGAAAGAGCAGGAAATGAGAGGGATCAAGAGACATGATTTATAACCAAGCGCTCCTTTTCTCTCTCACCATGACTATTTTTTGAAGACTTGGGTTCTTTTCTTTACCATTTAATTGGGTCCAAGAGTATGATTACTTGAGGGAAAAAATAGTTTGGTTACATCATGTGCCCACTGCCCAGAAATATGTTTCTGTGGATGAGGTTACTTAAGGATGATCTTTAGATCTTAGTTTAGTACCAGGGGATATATTTATGGTTCTACACCTGAATGAAAGTGGAGGAGCTCAGCTGGGCATGACAAGTACATAATTGTTGCATCCAAGTCTTAAAAGAACTGTTGGAGAAAGTGCTACTTTTCTTGATGTTGAAGACGTGTTGTACATTTAACAAGGCCAATTTTGAAGCAGTTTAAATTGGTAAGCATGTGAAACTCCTTGAAGGAGAATTAGCTAGCAGGCATGACATTAAGTTTAATTATTGCTATGATAGCATATGAAATAAGGAAGCAACAAGAATAAGTTCTAAGTATTGACATGTAGTGTGCCATATGCAAAGATTAGATATACTTGCTTCACATGCATAATGCATAAAATGCCTGTTTGACCAGGTGTGTGAAATGCCATGTTTTGGGTACTCATGCAAACACATCTGAATCTGGTCAATATCCTGGAATTATTATTTATTTAATTTTGTAAAAACAGTGTATCTTTGCTACTCGCTGTCCAACTTTTAAAAGGTTTTGCTTTGATGGTTTTCCTTTTTATTTATTAAATGAAGCATTCTGCACCAATATAATAACTTGACCCATCATTAAATTTGAATATATCACTGGCATGCTTCTTGCTGATCCATCTGGACTTATGTGTCACATTTTCCGGACCTGGCAAGAATGTCTAGTATTCAGGGTGTTGCTTATCCATTGAAAGTTATGTGTGAGATACGTGAACCAAACAAGGATGCTAGAATTCAAGTGGAGGAGATTGTAATACTGCATACTAGTCCCACATTGAATGTGGTCAATACTTTGCTTGGCATGAGTTATGAGTTACTACCTTCACTATAAAACATATTCCTGAGTGCTTTTTTTTGTCTTTTTCCCACGTGGTATTTTGCTTGTGTTGTAACATTCTATATAAGTTGCCTTCCAGTCTAGAACATTGTTTACCAAATTTAAAATAGATGCCAAAGTAGCTAATTCTTGAAATGAAATTTTACCATCCACTGTGACCTTATATCTTATCTTTTGTTGTTGAAGTGTCTGTACAATGAATGGAGGGGAATGTTCGGGTGGAGTTCTGATCTTAATGCCCTACTTATGAGATCTTGGAAGGAGAGAAGGTCAAGTTCATTGGAGTTGGTAAATTCTGCTATCCATAGGCTCAAATTTTACTTGTGGAATATATACATCAAACATTATTGTAAATGAGGAAACATTAGTATAAATGTTGAAGATTATCTAAGTAAACTTGCAGGTACCATTTATTCTTGCTGATGGTGCCAAATCGTCTAATTCTGGTTATATTCATGTTAATTTGGATGGGTCAGCCCATCCACTACCTCTTACTACAGTTTATCATGAGCTGCACCCTGTTCAACTTACTCCATGCACATTTTTCCAGGCCATCTTTGGTAGTGGATATCCTGTAAGTTCTTGTTCTTTGCCACCTGCATATCTTGGAATTGGTTTCTTCTCCCCTTTACCTTTAACAATGCTCATCTTGTTAGGGTTCATTGTCAAATTTTGTGTTTTTGAAAGGTGGCATTGTTGCACGAAGAAAAGATCCTTCCTGTTGGAAAGGAGATAACTGCAATTGGCATTTGTAGACCAAGAGATGGAGCTTTAGAGATAAAATCGTGCAAGAATCTTCCTTTTTTCTTGTGAGCATTAATTTTGAGCACCAAATGTCTTCAGTATGCTACTTTTTCTTTGTAGCAAAATTTGTCAGTTTTGGAAGTAAATATCACTATGGTGAAATTCAACTATCAGAAGAATTTTTAACCTTTTAAGGCAAAAGTTAAATTTCTCATGCACTACACTGTACAGATAAAGGACTAGCATTTTTTATAAATGCTTCCTTATTATATGGGAGGTATGTTATGGCTTCGTGTGCTGTGCAGGTCTGACATGACGAAGGATGAACTTGAGGCTGAGCTTAATTCCAACACCAGGATCCTGTTATGGAGTGGCATTTTAATTGGAACACTGTCCTTTGGTATATTAGGCTACGCCTTGGTCAGGTATTGTGATTCAACTTAATGGTGCATAGCACCATATGTATACATATGCATAGACATATCAATAAAAATATAAATGCAAATTTGTGTATTATCATGCATGGATTATGATTTTGACCCATTTCACTCATTGGGTGAAAAGTGCTGCTCAGAACTGCTCTTGAAACTGGGTCTGGTGTTTCTCAGTCCAATATTTCATAGGGTTTGTTTGAACTGGTTAACCTTAAAAGGGACCAAAACCAGTCCTTCAACTTAAATGACTGTCTTCTCATTAATCAGGTCTAGGAAAGGGGAATAGGGAATCATAGGTCTTGACTCTAGGAGGGGGGGCTATGGGTCTTGAGAGGAAATCCTCTTGCTTAGTTGTTGGAGAGAGTGGATAAGAGATCCAAGATTCTGGAGATCATGGACATATCAGCCTATATCACTGAATGAATCTTTTGGCAGCCTGCCGACAACCTAAATGCTACCATAACATTGATCCTTTAATGTTAAATCCTAGCCTATATATATGTGTGTACATCAGTATGTCATGTAGGATCATGCAAAATCATAACCTATATATATTTGTCTTGTTCTTCATTTAGGCACACAAGCTTTACCTAAATGGTAAATCAAACAATGACAGTGAATATGCTACACTATTTTATGTAGCAATGGTCCTTCCAGTAAACTAAATTATATCTGGTGTGGTGGCTTGAATATTTTCACCAACTTATACAATATAATATTCAGCTTTCGTTGTTACTAAAATCATCCCCGGGTTCAGTTGCTACTTTTGTTCAACATTTTTATGGTCTATGTTAATGGACAATTAAGTATCAACATATATATGACTATAATTTGCAAATCCTAATAGGGTTGTCTTTTTGTGTATATTTCCTTTTTAGCTATCTTATTTAATTATATTCTTGATAGTCCTATATATATAGAGATATCAGGATATTGGTCTGCGATGTAGTGCTAGTTGACATATAAGTTCTCCCTGGTTATATTGTTTCCATTTTTCTTGATCTGAAAGGGAACAAGCTCTTAAGTATGCATCTTAGAGGCTAGAGCTATGTTCATGTACAATGCCCATTTGTTCTCCTAAATGCAGTTCATGCATTTGTAGAGTTAAATCCATATGCTCTAGGTGACTGTATTTATGACAAAAGATTGCATGTTCCTGTGTTTCTATATGGTACAGGCCATGACATCGATCCCTGATAATTCGCGTTATAGGTGCGTAACTCACGTTGTGAAGTATTTGTTTATGTAGTTACATGATTCAGGTGTCTCTGAAGCATGTGTTTTTATAGTTATATGATATGGTTTTATCAGTGCATGTGTCACATACATAGTATGTTTGCAATTTAAGTATTTAGAAACTGTTTTTGGTTATCACTGTTGTCTGTTGATATGATTCTTTTACCGTCTATCATGTGATAAATAATATTAAATCTCAGCAGTTTATTAATAATAATGCAGGAACTGGCGGAAATGGAAGGAGTGGAGAACGAGAAGAAGAGAGATCCAGGACTTACATGATGAGTCTCTGATTGAGAGTAGTATGGAAGCTGAGGATGCACCCGAGGGAGAACTTTGTGTCATCTGCTTATCAACACGAAGGAGATCTGCATTTATTCCTTGTGGGCATCTTGTTTGCTGTTCTCGCTGTGCACTGCATGTGGAGCGTGACTCCTCACCAAAGTGCCCTGTGTGTCGGCAAGATGTTCGATCCTCAATTCGAATATATGATTCTTGAGGTGCATGGACTGACTATTAACACCCTTTTTTTTTTTTTTTCTAGTATATTTTTGTTAATGTGAAACAGGACATTATGAATTCGGTGACTTGTATTTCTTCCACACGCTTGGATGTTTGTATATGGAATATATGGTCATCTAAATTGGACACATTGTTTCCTGTTTATTTTTGCTCTTGTTGCATATAATTTGTTCAGAACTAATTATCACACATCGGATCTCTTACAAAACAAATTTATGATAGAACGTGAAACTATTTCAATCCATTTTGAACAAACACTTATGAATATTTCCAAGTACTGATTCCTTACAAAATTTTTGGATTGCTTTGTTGCAAGATGTGGAATGGCGAAAAGATTGAAGATGCGTGTTGATGATACAGCATGTCAATGCCAGTTGATGCTAATAATAGCAAACTTACTTGTCGGCTAGCTGAGTTGGCTGTCTTGGGAAGAACCAATGTGCGTGCGTCAATCATGTCGATTCGTCAGTCCACCCAAAACATAGGTTTTATTTGTGATTTTGTGTGCATAAGTTATTTGCTAGCTAATTTTTTTGTGGAGTAATTGTGACTAGCTAAGCTGCTGAACTACCACGAGTTGCATAATATGTGTGAGCTCTTGGCTAGACAATTAATAATGGGAAAGAAAAGGCACAATGTGATAATTTTCTTCTAGCACGGATTCTCGAACGTGTGTGTTATTGTTCTTCCAGATGGTAATGTCCAAAATCCTTCACACATCAATGATAGTAGTTTTGATGCTAAATAGCAAATAAAGAGTAGTAGTAACATGGTATGTATAAAGTGGTTAAATTAGCAAGTTGCATACATACATGCATACATAAAATCACACCCCCCTCCCAATAAAAAAATAAAAAATAAAAAAAATAATAAAATAAATGTAAGAAAGCATCGAACAGGGGAGCTTTTTGGTGTCCTAAACAATTGTTCTACACAAGTACTGACCTTGCTAGATTAAACCTACAACAGCTGCTACAACCTTCAAGTATCATAATGATGCTGCTACATGAGATTGATCCTTTTTACCTTCTTTTTTTTTTTTTCTTTTAAGGAAACGGAACTTGACTTGTGAAGAGAAAAAAAAAGGGTGATTAAACCTACTACTTTTCATTTCATCAGTCAGCAAGTAAAATGAAGCAATCGATCTTCCGAAAGAAAAGAAGAAACAAAATATTATTTAAGTAGAATTTGTGGTTATATTCATATAACATAACTGTAGAACACACATAGATTTAATAAGCACAGTGATTTGCCAACACAGTAACAGTGGCAATATCCTGATCAATGGCTTTAATAAAGATGTGAGATCCTCAACATATTAGAGGAGTGTTGAGAACATAATAAATGGATTTATCATCTCCCATCGATCAACTAAAAGCTTTTAAATGAATTGTTATGGACTATATATAAGTCCCACCATATATCAGAATGAGAGTTCTTGTGGTTCTCTTTCCTCGGAATTTTATTTGCAGCCAATTTAGGAAGGTTTAATTAATTACCTCCTGCGAATCTTCCAAAGAAAGATAGATATAGAGCGTACTATTCATCTTCTTCGTAGCAGTCAGTGGCTTGCCATGATGCCTCTGCATGCATGCAATCGATCCCCACGCGGCATTGCGTAGTGTTCTTCATCTCTCCGTTGTATTGTCATCGTAGCCTGTGCTCTTACATGTTTGTTCCTTTAAGCTCTAATGATCGGCACTGCACTGCTACCTTTCCTTCCAAGTACATGGAAGATTCCCATGGTTACTCTTTGCCGTGTACAAGATCCCTAGGTGAAGAGATCCAGCACAACCCCCATTCTACATTACGCCGCTAATCCGATGGTTTGGGCTTTGGATCACTAGGCTTGATTGGATTGTGACATAAGACTCAGATTTCGTTTCTTTCGCTCTACTAAAGCATATATTAATGACTTTTAAAGTTGGTTACCTAAGATAGTATTGTCATGAGTTCAAATCTTGTGGTTGTTCCTCGTTTCTAGTATCTAATTAAACATTTGAGTGTCATTAACACATTGAGTCTAAGTCGACTTAGTGATGACAAAGTATATTATTATTGGATGTAAACTTCTGACATTTGTAGTTATCGACTAAATCTTAAGACCATCTAAAAAGGGAGTTTTCTTTTTTCGATCTTATAATTAAAAATAAATATTTTTTTATAAAAAGTGAAGGGTAATTTTATTTTATTTTAATTCTTTATTATTATCGATCCGATTTGATCTACTCTCAAGTAGTAGTGTCACAGACAACGATATCCATAGAGCCCGTCCCGGTGGAGGACTGCAAGCACTCACCCCAAGTGCTACTTCAGGTGGGTGCTGCTTGCAAGGCTGCCGGCAACCTGTGATGGCGGAGCACATATCTCTCCATGATCATTAATCATATTGCGAGCTGTCGCCCACATCACCTCCATGGTTGGGGTCCGAGGAATAGGAGTGGGAATGATAATAACATCAAGAAGAAGAAGACGAATATATTCGAAGCAAATGGATTCCTGGTCCCAACTCCCAACTCCCGACCCCCGACCCCCAACCCTGCTGGGTGGATTGCATAAATCGATCCCAACCCCCATCCCCACTGGGAGGATTGCATAAATTGATCCCACCAGTGGCCGACTCCTCGGTGGTGCGTTGGATGCTGTGAGCCACCAATCTTTTATTGCTCCGGCGTAAACCGTTGACCTTGCTTTCAGTTGTTCTCTCATTTATCTTTCACGTGGCATCAGCGCCCTCCACACACCCACTTCTTTTTTTTTTTACGAAGAATAAGTACATTTTTTACATAAGTAATCAAAGTGAAATTTGATTAAGATGCTTGTAATGATCTATTTAATTCTTTACTACTTAAACCAGCTATTGCCTTCCCCACACTCATTATTCCTATATTTATTTAGGAATGCACATGGTCACCATAGATATATATATATTTTTTTTTAACTAGAACATTCTACATTTTTAGACTAAATCTTCTTCCACTATTAAATGTAATTTTATTTGTTTCTTATGTGAAAAATGAGAGGGTGGTTTCATCAACATATTAAAATCAATTAAAAATGAAAAAAAGATCAATTTCCCAAGTATTCATATTATATTGATATATATCACTTACTATGAGGTTCTACATGTTAAATAATGTCAGATTGCGAACTACGATAAAGACAATCTAATCAATAATTAGTTCAAATGCAGGAGCTAATATGTACATGACATTTAAAACTAGTTCATAGTAGTGAATAGCTGTTTTAAAAGAAAGCATAATAGCTATGACAGTAGGTATCTTCATTTTTGTTTGTTTGTTTGTTTTTTTGTTTTTATGTCTGTATTTCTGCTGGTTAGAACATTATCTAAATGGAAAAAAAAAAGAGTTGAATATTTATACATAAACAAAAAATATATATGCATAAACCATATGATGCTACCGAGTCTTATAAATACGTATTTGTTGGAACCATGACATACAAAGATTGTAATAAATTCCTCAAGCAAATAGCTAAAAGATAAACAAAGAAATCCCCACCAAACCACTTACAAGAAGAAAAGAAAGATATACCAGAGGATCTATCGAAAGAGGGAGAGAGAGAGAGAGAGAGAGAGAGAGAGAGAGAGAGATCCATGTTGGAAAGAACTCATCGTTTGTCATCCTAAACAAGCCGAGCAAAAGTAAAGGGGAAGGGATATGTGAATGTGGAGAAGAGAAGGACTGTCCCCTTGCTCCTCTAAGTCTGCCTCATTCCTAGGGATTGCCCCCTGTAGATTTGTCGCCATGCCTGCCCTTCTTTCTTGTTTCTTACTCCTTTCATTTCTGTCGATGTGTGTGCGCGCATCATTCTACGTCTTTCCCCCCTCTTTCTCTGATCCCAAAAACATACTCTGCTCCAGTTCAAGGGAAAAAGCCAGGTGTCGCTGTTCTACAGGAATCTAGTCCTTTTCACATTTCCTCTTCTCCTCTCCGTTCAAAACTTCATGTGTCTATTTACCTATCAAAAGAAGTATCTGAAAGAAGCAATGACATAGATGTGGCAGGGTCAGGCAGATCCATCGTTCTGGACTGAGTCGCCGAGTGATGTCTTGCTAAACAGCTCAAGGAACTATGAAAGAATTAATACAGATCATCAAGAAGAAGAGAATAGCAGGTGTCAGAGAGGCTGACATCATCAAATCCTCAAAGTTCACGTGATAATTCAAAGTTTCGTGAATATTTCTATAACTACACGAGAATTTTTTTTTCTCTAACATGTATAAATAAGATTTATGTTAATGAAACTGATCAAGCTTTCATATCATGTTTTAATCTATCATGGTATCAGAGTGATCTTACATTGAGTAAGACTTCTTTCTTGTTATCCAGCGATAACAATCTTAAAAGTCAACTAACTCTCAGGATCGATCATGGACGTGACCACCCCCTTCTTCAGTCTTCTTCACTCTCGTGATCACCTGCCATCATGAGTCTGTCATCGTCTATGTTGCATTGCTCCCCGTCGTCCTCGTCATCATCCTTGCCAACAACAGCGAACCTCTCTTCCACCCCTTGGGCTTCCTCCTCTACCTCGATCCACCTCCAGCGATGTTGATCTGAGCCGACGACAATCTACCACCTCCAACAACATTGATCAGATCAATGCTCTCTTCCTCACTGATCGCTGCTGTTTGTGCCCCGAGCGTCTTTGCCACCTCGCTGACCTACTACCATTGCTACAACAACAACGACCTGGGAAGAAGCACGACCCACCTTTGCACCTTGTCACAGCCATTTTCCCACTCTCCACCCTACACCGACAACCTCTTCTCCTCCTTAGGTTAGTGTCTTCCCCTCTCCTCCTTTGCTTCGTTGCGGTCACTCATCAAATTTAAGAAAGTCTTCTCCTAGACTTAGTGACACTGAAGTACCTTAGCCTAACTAGGCACGTGTTAGTGACTCTCCACCAATATTTATACCTCCCACACAACCTAACAATTCCATCATACTTGTACATCCCATGATAACATACTCCAAAAGTAGTATTTTCAAATTACGTCATGTCTTTAACCTTCATGCTATCACAAAATTTTCCTCTGAGCCCATTGAACCCACTACCATCACTTTGTTGAATCTCGGATTTTAATGATGAAGTCAATTGATGGGTTAATTGATCTAATCCAAATTATTGAGTTAAGTGTGCAGGATTAACTACGATAGCTTGAAGACATAAAGTAAGTCTACCGAAGTCAAGTTCGATGGGTGTTCGAGAGTCCGCCGAAAGTCCGAAGAATCATCAGAAGTGCTACCGGAACCAACCGAGAAGGAATCAGGGACTTACCGAAGTTTTCAAAAGTCCACCGAAGAGATCGTCAAAGGTTTACGGAGATTATCGAGAAGGTTCGGCTACTCACCAAATACTCGCTGAACTCGCCATAAGACCAGGAGTCTACTGGGAGTCCGCCGAAAGAAATCCGAGGGTGTATCGGAAGTCCGTTGGAAGTTCACCGGAAAGCTCGGCGGAAGGAAACTCGACGTTTCCGGTTAAAAACCTGCTTAGGACTATGTCTTAATTTTATAGTTTGTATGTAATTAGGGTTAGGATTAAGGGTTAATCCTATAATCTGGTTAGGGGCCATGTAGGCCCTAATATAGATTGGTTTGGGCTAAATTAGGAGCCCAACCA